ACATATTCTTTTCACATTAATATCCTGAACATACTAAGAATATTAAATATTTTTAAAAACTGTAGTAAAAACATGATATGAAACTTACAGTCTCAACCATGTTAAGGCATATGGTTCTGTAGTGCTAAGCATAGTCACGTGACTGCACAATTACTCTCTAGAAATTTCTCATCTTGCAGAACTAAAATTCTATATCTGTGAGCACTGATTTACCCCTCCTTCCTCCTACCCTTTGGCAACCATTTTCCATTAGCTATTCTTATGATTTTTATTATTTTAGATACTTTATCTGAGTAAAATTATCCAGTATTTTTCCTTTTATGAGAGACTTATTTCACTTAGCATAATGTCCTCAAAACTCATCTATTTTACAGGATTTTCTTCTTCTTCTTCTATTTTTTTGAGTGGGGTCTTGCAGTGTTGCCCAGGCTAGTCTTAAACTCCTAGGTTCAAGGACTCCTCCTGCCTCAGCCTCCCAAGTAGCTGGAACTCCAGGCCTGTGCCAACACACTCAGCTGGACTTTCCTCGTTTCCTGAGGCTACATAATATTCCACTGTGTGTACATCCTCCACTTCCTTTTCCCCTTCACCTGCCAGTGGACATATTTGGGTCGTGTTCACCTCTTGGCTATTGCGAATAATGCAGTAATGAACATGGAAGTGAAAATAAATATCTCTTTAAGATCCTGTTTCAGATTATTTTTCATATATACCTACAAGTAAAATGGCTGGATTGTGTGGTAATTCTACTTTTAATTTTTGGAGCCCTTCCATACTGTTTTCCATCATGGCTGCACTGTTTTACATCCCCACCCACACTGCACAAGCATTTCAGGATCTAAGCCTCCTGGCCAACATTTTCTGGAGATGGTGAATGTCTCAGGGTATGTGGTGAAGCCTCACTGTGGTTTTGGTTTCTACTTCTCTTATGATTCCTGGGGTTGAGCATCTGTTCATAAGCCTGTTGGCCATTAGTATATTTTCTCTGAAGAATTGTTTATTCAAGTCATTAGCCCATTTTTAAATTGAGTTGTCTGAGCATTTGTATTATTAATTTATAGAAGTTACTTATGCATTCCCTTAACTTTTTTTTCAGACATATGATTTGAAGATATTTCCTTCCTTCCTTTAAGTGACTTTTTACTTCACTGATGGTGTTGTGTTGTTTGATGTACAGAAGTTTTTAAATTTGACATAGTCTCATTTGTCTGTTTTTGCCTCTGTTGCCCATGCTTGGTGTTCCCAAATCCAATAGTCTAAACCTTTCCCCTATGTTTTCTTCTAAGAGTTTTGTAGTTTTAGGTCTTAGCGTGTAGGTTCAATTCATTTTTGAGTGAATTTTTGTATGTAGCAGATAGTGGATCTGATTTTATCCTTCTGACCAGTGTTTTAACACCATTTATTAAAGAGGCTGCTTTTAACCCTGTGGTGTATCTTGGCACCCTTGTTGAAAATTATCTACTATATGTATAAGACTTTATTTCTGGGCTTCCTATTGTATCTGGTTGTCCTAGATAACTGTCTTCATGCCAGTACCATATGGTTTTGATTACTGTTGCTTTGTAATATGTTTTAAACAGAAAATTGTAGGCCTTGAACTTTTTTTCCCCAAGGTTGTTTTTTAACTCTTTATGGTCCCTTGAGATTCACTATGAATTTTAGGATTTGTTTTTGAAATTTATGACAAAACGTGGCATTAAGATTTTAATAGGAATTGCATTCCTCATAGATTGCTTTGGGTATTACAGACATTTTAACAGTGTTAAGTCTGCCAAACTATAAGCATAGGATGTTTTCCTATTTATTTGTATCTTCTTTGATTTCTTTAGCTATGTTTTATACTTTTCATGAAATATTCTTTTATAATATAATTTTAATAATTTATTGCATAGTAGCTAAGAGGTAGAAGCCAGCCAAATGTCCATCAACAGATGAATAGATAAAGAAAATGTGGATATGCATACAATAGAATATTATGCAGCTTAAAAAAAAACCTTTTTGTGTGACTCAAGCCATTTTCTATTCTAGGGACATTTAGAAAATCTCTGACTTTATCTTATTTGAAAATGTTTTGTAGCAACATTTTGTAGCTAAATGTTTATACCAATTTCTAATTCCTTAAGGTAAATTCTAAGACATCAATATAAGTGTAACAATTAAGCAATATATATGGTGTTTTATACTATGAATTCCTATGTCCTACTTGCTGAGCATATTATCTCAGTGGAAAAGGAAAACTAAGGAAAATAATAGAGAAAATGTCATTGACTATTTGAGTAGTTCTAAGGGAGATTATATTTAAAATACTCATGAAAGTGGTTACTATTCTCATGTCAGAGGCTAATCACCTGTTGCTAGCTAGAAATAGGTTTTATTCATCACCATTACAGGGGGAAAAAAGCTTGTGGTTCAGAGGAGAAGGAATTGAAGAGATGTAAATAATGAAAAGAAAATCCTGGCAAGGTCAAATGCCTGAGGACACGGGGGAGAATGCAATGGAATCCATCACAATTAAAACACAGAGTCAGCAGTGAAGAGCAGACAGAGGACCAAAGGGAATGTGGCAAGTCACAGAAGCAGGTGGCTGATGAGGGTAAGTCATGATGGTCCAGGGATGGACACTACCCAGCACAAAGCTTCGTGTAAGAAGCGAGAATTCAGGAGCTTTCATCCCAAGAAACAGCCGGGCAAGGCAAAAAGCAGGTCATCAACAAAAAGATGACATTGTTGGTAACATATGAATGTTGACAAGATATTTCTAATGGCCTACCAGGTCTCCCACATAATGAGTATGTGGAGAAGGTTGATTAAAAGCCAATCTCACGTTTCACACCATAGCCTTCTTATTCATATTATGTATAGAGAAAAGAAAAGGAAAAAGAACTGGACCATATTTTTGAGGAGTATTGGAGCCTAAGACCTGCACCTTCTGTTGTAAATGTTTTCTTAGAGAACTCCAGTATTATGGATAACAACGCAGAACCCAATGTCCAGATGTGGTAACGATGTTTAATCTTTACCTGCGCCTTGATTTCTCCTTCCCGTAAGCAGCATATTGTGAGCAGACTCTGTTCGACATGGTGGTGAGAACTGACACGGGCTTCATCTGGAGTCTCTAGACAATGAGGCAGAGAGTCTCATCATCAGATGGTCGCGAGCCACCGGACATGGTGCGCCCGTGGCAAACACCAGGCACTATTAATTCCACGATTTCTCTTCTGATGAATAGACAACTGAACACTGACCAAGGGAGTGCCTTGAATTTTCTTCCAGAGGTGATATGTTTATTTTCTTGTTATCAGAATTCAAGGGAGGCATTTTAATAACTTTTACTGACTGTGAAATCTTAACTTCTATCATTACTTAAAAGGAATGGCATTACAAGAAGAAAAACAGAATACAACCACATTGTAAGTAAGATGGGACCTACCTCTTTCAAAAAGCACACGGTTGGGCTGGGGGAGGTACAGCAGGACCCCACCATAGAGAGGTAGCTCTTGGTGTAGCTGACCAGAAGCGGCAGGGGGGCCTGTCCGTAATTGCTGGAATATTCATACATAAATCTGTTGAGGAGAAAATAGGATCGGTTAAAAAATTGTGAGGAAACAAACTTATTTTTTATAAGTATTTTTGATGGGTAAAGAATACATGCTACCTTAGTGTATAGTTTTAATATCTAAGAAGCATTAAGGATTTAGAGGAAATTATATAATACTGGTCCATCAACATGTTTGTTAAAATACAGGCTTTTTCCTAAATTCCCATGTGGTCTGCTGGAGAGGAGGGGCCGTCTGCCCCTTTAGTCACTGAGTATCAACCCAGATGCATCACCCCTGGAGCTGCTGATTCATTAAGCTGCTGGTGAAGCATTCAGATGATTGTTGTACTAGATTTACCTGTGCTTATCCATCTCAGTTTATTCTAGATAATTGCTATACGTAGGTTTCATTATTTGTTGAAAGAAATCATTTTAATTTTAATTCTTAGAAACACATGCCCTTAGGAATCTAAAAAGGGACTCTGTAATTCTGGACAAAATCCCCTTTTAAAATGTATAGGAATAGGCAAGCCAACTAATTTTCATAGATTGTGACCACCTTGAATGATGTCACTTTTGATTTTGGTGTATGTGTCATTTTTTCACTGTAATCATGGATTTCCTCCATTGTTGTTACTTTTATGATCTTTAAAGTCTAGAGATTCAGGGTGTGATCAGTGTAGCCTCTCACGCTATTAAACGCGGATTGCAGCGTTACACGGTTACTTAGGGAGTAAGTGGGTCCTGCGCACAGGTGTTCCTGTGGCTGTATAGGAGGGGAGGGAAAACGAGGTTCACTTTTTATGCTTTAGTATTTAAACTGTGCACAGCAATAAAATTGCTTCTATCAGGTGTATGCAAGGATCCCTAGCACAAGGGAAATCATAATAGGGGCTGTCAAATACTTGAAAATATGTCATGTGGGCAGGGGACTCAAATGATTCTGCTTCAGAAGGAAGGATACGAGGATGAGTAGGCAGGAGCTGGGGGTTGTTTTTGTCTCTGAGAAAGGAAGTCACAAAACTCAGCAGCCCGGGAATGCCGGTTCCCACCACTGGGAGTTGTCCCGGTGCCGTGGAAGAGGAGTCTGCACTGAGGACGGGCTGGATTAGACACCTCTGTGGTTGGTGTTTTATGCCTTAAAGCATTTGTGGTGCAGGCAGCTTACTGGTCAGCAAATCCCTTCGGATCTTTCCTGAACGCCTCGCAGATTTCGTCGTTCGTAGGCTCCACGTAGGTGGGGAACTCCTGCGGCTGGTGCTTGAGCGCCGCCATGCAGAGCTTGCGCTCCAGGCCCTCGCGCGCGCAGCACTCGGCGGTGCCCGGGTGCGCCGGGAACGGGGAGTCGCGCTCGCAGGACCGCGCCGACAGCGCCGAGGTCTGCAAGGACGGGGGAGTCAGGGGCGGGTCCCGGGCTGGGCCACCCTGGGCTGAGCCCCCCCACCCCCGCCTCCCTGAGACGCTGTCCCTGCCCAGGGCCCCCTCGGTGACAGTCACAGGGGAGCCTGGGGTCTCATCTGTGTAATAAGGGACACTTCAGGTATCCTCTCAATAAAGGGAGTCCTTAGGATTTGACCCTCTAGCCCTGTCCCTCCGCAGGGAGGTTAGCGTCTCTGAGGGGTGAGGAGGGCGCCTGAAAAGCACTATGGCAGTTCTGATGCTGTCCCGACCTGTGTCTTCTGCGGTGGTGCCAGGTGACATTGGGCGGCGCCCTCTGCCCTGCTCCCTGCTAAGCAAGTGGCTCCGACTCTGCTGCCTTCAGCCTTCTAGGATGTTCCCTCCTCCTGATCCTGTTTTATTTAGCGTCAGAATCCCTCATAGAGTACGTAAAATTAAGAAATGCTTGGGGGACACAGCCTAGACATTCTGATTGAGCAGGTCAAAGATGGGACCTGAAAACCTGTATATCCCAAAGCCTCAAGATTCATTCTCAAGTGCAGCGTGGGCTGAAAACCAGGGGAGACTAATTCACCGCCTCCCACACTGCCCCGCCCCCCAAGTGTGGGCAGACCGGGCACCATCAGAGCAACTGCAGCAACAAAATGCTGCAGTTTTTTTGGAAATCATTGATATTTGAAGTATAGATAAAGAATAGAAATAATCACCATGGAGGAAAAAGGATTAGAAATAGTCATCATGAAAAAAATTACATTGGGATTTATATGGAAAAAGTATTTGGACTTGACATTCTACCCTTATTTTATAAGTAGTCATCTTTTTAAGGCAAAATTTCTAAAGATCTTTCCAATCAGTGAAGGAAGGGGATGTGATGAATTAGTTACACGGACCTGCTTCTTCTCCCTTCTAGACCTGAGTTCCTTCACAGACTCAGAACTTAAGAGTCTTTTTTTTTTTTTTTTAGCTTTATTTCTCTTTTCAGAAAATCATTTTCCTTTTCTTTTCCTGGAAATCTTTCTGGTTTTCCTTTTAAAAATTATCTTCTTTCAAATAAAAAAAAAAGAGGCTGAAAGTGTCAACACATTTAAAATATGCTTTGAATACACAGGAGAAAGAGGAGGGTATCACACAAAAAATGCCAAGGCCCTCTGTTCTCTGAAACGCCAGGATTGTAGACGCAGATCACTGGCAAATACAGGGGGTGACGTAAAATGAAAAATGCTCTTTCATGTTGGCCTTGGTTGATAGTTGGATGCTTGCTTAGTTTAAGGGAGTGCAGAAGGTTGGAATAAGAGGTATTTATGAACTTGGTGCTAGAAGAAAGTGATTATAAAGTTCTTATTTCACAATCCAAAGTGTACTTCAGTGAGGAGATTAAAAGCTAGATAAATCAATGGGAAGAGTATTCACCGTCTAGAATCTATTATAACCAGATCTCTGGAGTGTTGTGTCTGTGGGATAACTGCTTCAGGCCTGAGCAGTGAGAATGATTTGTCTGGAGAGGACTTTATTAAAATGTCGCTTGCATCAGGCCTGATGACTGCGTCAGTAAATTACTGAAGTTCCCAAGATTTTGCCTTTTATCAGCCACTGTCTAGATTTCAATCCCTGTTATTTCAGCATTTAAATTCTATAAGTACTATAGGGAAGACAGTCTAGAACTTGTACACCTATAGGGCAACTTTTGGCCCCCAAATAATTTGAAATAATAATTTCTCTAAATTTTCCTGAGGTAGTTGGTACCTGACCTGGCATGATGATAAAGGTTTGGGCAGGCTTCCAGGGTTCCAGGGTTAGAGCTGATATTTGAGAGGCTCGAGTTGGTAGTGATAAAAAACTCAGGTCTTGGCTCAGTGCCTGTAGCTCAAGTGGCTAAGGTGCCAGCCACATCTAGCAGAGCTGGCGGGTTCGAATCCAGTCTGGGCCCGCCTAACAACAATGACAACTACAACCAAAAAATAGCCAGGCATTGTGGCAGGCACCTGTAATCCCAGCTACTTGGGAGGCTGAGGCAAGAGAATTGCTTAAGTCCAGAAGTTGAAGGTTGTGATGACATGGCACTCTACCCAGGGTGACTGCTTGAGGCTCTGTCTCAAAAAATACCAACCAACCAAACAAACAAAACCCGCTCAGGTCTTAGGTCTGGATTTGTAGGCTGTACCCACTTCTTACTACAAGATATGTTTACTAAATCACTAAGTTACTTTAGGACCCAGTTTTCTCATTTGAATCTTGTAGGAATAATGGGTAAAATGGACTCATTATTTAGAACAAACCTGGGCTGTAACAATAATAGGCTTGCTATTGCCCCTAATCTAGGAGTAGGTGGAGTTGCTGTATACAGTTTCGCCCAGACACGACACACTTTGGCCCCCTTCTCCCGGCCAGTCACACGAGCCTACCCTGTTGTCGTAGCAGTCGGGGTTAGCCCCTTCCGCACAGCAGGCTTCAGTCAAGGAGACAACTTCCGTCACGAGCTGTTTGACTTGTTCAAACGTTCCACTGGGAAATTTTCTGCTGTATAGGACTAGGGACCTGAAGGGGAAAGTAAGTCAATTTAATTAACTAGGATGGAAACGCTTTTTGCTGCACTGAAATATTAAATCTATATAATTGTTACATGGAGTATTGTACACATTGACTTCTTTACATGGCCAATGAAGGAATGAAGTCTATTCTAAAACCATTTTGTTCTAGGCTGGTTTATCTTGCAAAGCTGTAGAAATTGGACTTGGGGCTGCCTCAGTCTGGTCTGGTCTGGGCTTTCTCAAGCCTCCCCAAAGCCATCTACTCCCTATCCCACTGCCTTTCTTTGCCAGAGTCCTAGAAAGTACTCTTGCATTTTAATTTACTTTAGAAAACTCTACTTATTCTCTTTAACTCATTCATAAACTTACTGGTGACAAGTTCTTAGACCATAGTAACTACAGGTCAGCTAGAATTTCGGATTTCCCCCATTTGCCTGACATCACCCCCTACATGCCCCTGGGCTCTGTCCTCCTAATAGAGCAACGATCAGTGCAACCCTGTGTACTGAACCCCAGTTTCCGCAGGCTCAGTTTTGCTCAAGGTCAGAAAGCCACGAGAGTGAGTGGATACTGTACACTTACAGAGATGTGAACTCATCCTTTCCCAGATGGGCAAACTCCTTGCAGACTTTATCCTTCTCATAATCTCGGCCTAGGAGTTGGAAATAGAAAAATCCATGTCCTTTCTTTTTTTAATGAACATTACATTAAGTGTGTGTAAAGTGGTGAAGTAGCATTTTCTCAACATCCATATTCAATTTTCATTTTTCAGGCATCTTTTTAGCTGTCTTTTCACAACAGACTACAGTGGTATGGCACATTTCATGGCATGATATCTGGATAGAGTAGGGAGCAAGGGGGGAGAGTGAACTAACACTGGACGTGAGTGGGGGACATGCGTCAGCTGGGATCCCAGGGAGCAGGGGACGTATCAGCTGGGATCCCAGGGAGCAGGGGGGACGCATCAGCTGGGATCCCAGGGAGCGAGGGGGATGCGTCAGCTGGGATCCCAGGGAGTGGGGCACAGGCATCAGCTGGGATCCCAGGAAGCGGGGCACATGTGTCAGCTGGGATCCCAGGGAGTGGGGCACAGGCATCAGCTGGGATCCCAGGGAGCGGGGGACACGCATCAGCTGGGATCCCAGGGAGTGGGGGATGCGTCAGCTGGGATTCCAGGGAGTGGGGCACAGGCATCAGCTGGGATCCCAGGGAGCGGGGGACACGCATCAGCTGGGATCCCAGTGTGCACAACACCTTTGTTTTCTCAGGTCCCTTCAGGGTAATAACACAAAGTGGGGCTGTCTCCCCTTCCTCCCCTCATTCTCACCCTCCTTCCTTTTCTTTTCTCTTTTTGTTATTTCATTTTCACCTGAGGCCTTGAAAGAACAAAGAATGAAAGGGAAGTGAGAGTGTCTGCTTCCAAAGTGAGGGGCAGCCCATTGAGGCAGGCCAGTCCCCCGAGGGGGTGAGCAGCCCCCCCCCCCACCTGCAGGCTCTGAGGCAGATGGGCAGTGCAGCTGGAGAAAAGATGGAAATCAGGCAAAAATGCTTTTTGGTGGAATTGGTCAGTGTGGTGACTTCGGGGACATGATGGGGGAGGGTTTGCTCTTGCTTCTACCATAGTGACAGGGCTTTAGGGAAACCACTCAGGACCTTCACAGGTGACTCTTAGAGTTTGGGGTGCATTGGACAGGTGTTAGATTCAGGCCGTGCAAACTAGAGGGCCAGGGGCTGGTTAGGTGGCTGGAGAGCAGGGAGGAGTGTGGGTAGGTCAGGTGGGAGGGGAAGCTGGCCTGGAGCTGCCTTCAGTATACCCACACCAAGGGCTACCTACAGGCAATGGACTACAACAGTGGGGCATCTCTGTCCAGAGGCAGGGTGCAGAGGGGAGTCGTAAGGTTCCAGCTGGAGGTGAGAGATCTCCAGGGGGTATGGGAGAGAGATCACCAAAGAGCCCAGAGAAAACGTTCGCTTTCTCTGTCTCCAAAACCAGAAGACACACCAGCCCACATGCTGCCCCCGGGATTTCTTTCCTGCTGCTGTGTCTCCTTTCTGTGTGTCAGCCCCAGGGGAGCTGGACGCAGCCCAGAGAGTGGCAGGAAGGAGAGGAAGCAGGCTGAGAGACAGAGAGGGACGTGCCGGTCCCCGTCCAGGCAGCAGGGCCCAGACAGGCTGACTTGGGGAGTAGCTTCCACTTTCAATGAATTAAAAAATTGTTGATTATTAAATACAACCAGGAATTCTCATGACTAGAAGGAGGTGATGGTTTTATGGTTCTAAAGAACCGGAGAGCCTTTCTGTTATTTGAGAGGGATCAGAAAAATCTGATCAAATCTACTCTTGAGTCCATCCAGGCAATAGGGAAGAGCTAGTTCCTACAAGGGAGACCGGCTGTGTGCCGGTCAGGAGACCCGCTGTCACCTGTGTTCAGGTGGGGGCACCCAGGCCGGTCAGTGCTGTCCTTCCCTGATCCACTATTTATGCAAATAAGTCCCAGAAATTTCCCAATACCTTGTGATTTTATATCATTGGAAAAAGTGTAGGAAGTATATAAATGACCTAGTCTCTGTTCTAAGTGGCTTTAACTTTTATTAATTTATCCTCCTGACTTTAGATATTTGGAAGGGCATCTCAGATGATTCCAGGGTAACTGTAACCATGTGTTCTGGCCCAAAGACACCCTCATCTCTCTACAGTTACAGCTGGGGGGGGCAGTAAATGAACTAGTGCCTGGGTAGACGTTTGTGTCTTATGGTGTGGAGTGGAGGTCGCGATACTTGAAGACAGGCTGGGAGGGACTGTATACTTTTCCTTTTTTTTTTTAAATTTATTTTTCTACATATACACGTGCTTATTAGGTTTCCATTTTTGCCTTCACAGAATTAAAAGGCTAAATTTAATGACAAAAATAATATTTAACATAAGAACTGAGAACAAAAACCTCATAAAGAACGAAAGAAGATAAATACATTCAGAAAAGAAATCAGACGATTGCTGCAATGAAATATTAGGCAATAATAATAGTAATAATGCAAAGAAAGTAACATTCCCATTGTCAGATAGGAGTATGTCCATAATAGAATACTTTGATCAGTTAACTTCTTCTTATTTTGTTTTTTCCAAATAGACAACTAATATTTATAAGTAAAAGTAAAAGATAATTTCAAAAAAACAGATCATGCCAAATCTTATAGACAATAGAAAAAGAAATACTTCAAAATCATTCTACTTAATCTGGATACACCTGGTATTAAAATTGGAGAAAATATATTATTCTAAAAGGGAAATTACAAACATATTTCACTTATAAATGGGGATGCCATATGATAAACAACATATTAACACGTTGAATTAATGTTTAAGTAATGTACTTTGGTCAAAATTAAATATAATTTATGTGAGAATTAGTCACTATTTTATTTTATTTTATTTACTTTTCCTGTTAAATAAAGATTATCTTAGGATTCGTTATGATAACAATTGCCTGTAGAGGAAGCGCTTGCCACGCATATTTCTCAGGTGGATAACCCAAAATACTGTGTATTTCTGAGGTGAGGAAAACCAGAATTGAGAATTGTGAGACAAAGATATTCTTGACCAGGCGTCCTCAAACTATGGCCTGCGAGCCATACGCGGCTGCCTAGGACATTTATGTGGCCTGCCGGGTGTTTTTGCCACCACTGCCTGTCTTGCTTAGCAGCTGACTCGTCCCGGGGCCCGCAGTCCGGCCCTCCAATAGTCTGAGGGACAGTGAACTGGCCCCCTGTTTAAAAAGTTTGAGGACCCCTGTATCTCGACCAACTCTTTGTAACGAGGGACTAACTCAAATACCATTAAAATCACATGGAAAAGAGCCCACATGTCTGAATCTGATTAAAAGGAAAATGAGGAAAAAACTGTTCAGCATTAGATGACTTCTCATCTAAACAAACTGTATAGCTGCCCACAGCAGCACTTATAAGTCAGCCCAACATTTATAAAAAAGAAAAAATAGAAAAAAGAAGTTGTGGGGAAGTAGGGCAGGGAGGCAGGGCTAATAAAACTGTCAGTGAGACTCACAGAGCCCCTTCGTGTGGGGGACCTCTCCTGTCTGAGAGCCTTCACGGCTGGTCCGTTTTTGGAAACTTATTGATTAGTTTACAAGGCTCTATACTGTGACAGGTTCAAGAGGTCAAAGCCAGGCAGAACATTGCCATCAATCATTAAAGGTTTTCTACGGGACTGCAGACTGGACCCGGAAGGTTCAGGTTAGACCCGTCCTCCCCTGGCACAGAGCCGCGCTGCTGGGCGTCAGCACACTCCTTTTATCTTGCTGCCAAAGGAGAGCTAGGAAAGGTGGTTGGCAGTTACAAGACAATAGGTTTCAGTTCAGTGCAAGAAAACGTTATAATTGTGGTTAACTAATGAAAGGGATGGTGGCAGCCTTTTGAAGAAGTGAGTTTATTTTGTTGCTGTGAATATTCAAATGAATTTAAATAATCATACATACTAAAGATTCCCGAGTTTAGTACAAGATTGTACCCTTAAAGTTATCTTTAAGGTCACTTGCCTGGGATTATAAATTAATCACTTTTAGAAATTGTAAGAAATTACATGCAATTTTCTCCCAAAGCTCACTGTGAAAACATACAAAAAGATCTAGTAAGAACTTCTTTTTCCCTTTTTTCTGTTATAAATGTCGGGCTGATTTATAAGTGTAGCTCTGGGCAGTTACACGGTTTGTTTACAATGAAGCGTTATCTAACTCTGAACATTTTTTGTCTTCTTTTTCCTTTTAATGGATGTGAGATAACTTTGTTTAATAAACTTCCCCCTAAATGAAGAGGTGATTATTGTTAGTACATTTATTGTGACCATTCAAAAATATGAAAAGTGAAATCCTGTATTCAAATAGGGCAGGGATCCTCTAAGTTTTTAAACAGGGGGTCAGTTCACTGTCCCTCAGACCATTGGAGGGCCAGACCGCAGATCCCGGGACAAGTCGGCTGCTAAGCAGGACAGGCGGCGGTGGCAGAAACACCCAGCGGGCTGGATAAATGTCCTAGGCGGGCCCCATGTGGCCCACGGGCCATAGTTTGAGGACGCCTGAAATAGGGTATGTCTGGTGAACTTTTTGAAAAATACTTTCTTTCTAACCTTCTAGGTTCAGATTTCTTATTTCGCCAAAAGAGGAAAGTTTCATTTTACATGTTTGTGTGTGCATGAGAAAGTAATATAAATGGACTCTACAGATATTCATTGTTAAATAGATTTAACCAAACCAACTACTGTGATTGTGCACAAGAACTTTAGAATTCGTGGATGTTACATGCTGTGAACTGAGGAGAGAAGTGGGAATGAGACGGCTGCATGAGGTTCAAAGTGGTTTTTAAGTCATTTTTGTTGAAGCCTTCAGCTTTAGTTAGGAGAGGAAGCTCAAAGTGGAGGTCGTGGGACAGCTGAGGACTGAAGTGTGGAAGTGGCCTGGACGGGAACCGCTCATGTGCCCTTGCAGGTGGGCTACCCAAAATACACTGGTAAAAAAGAAATTCATTTATTAGTTTGACCAAAAAGAAGGTATCAAGCTTACCAGGTCTAGCAAACATATGTTAATCATTTTCTCAATTTTCCAAAACCCAGTAGATACCCTGAAGTAGCAACATGATCATTGGA